TTACCCTTTTTTAAATCGTAAATTCCTCCCGGTAACAAAATTTTTTCCAAACACCCCCCAACCCAAAAAAAAAAAAAAAAAAAACCCCCCCCCCCCCCCCCCAACGCCCACCTGGAACCCTGATTGACCAACTTGTCATACTTGAGCTGTCTCCCCCTCTGGTTTCGCATTATTTCCGTTTTCGCCACCGATCACATTGCGCACAAAGTCGAGATAATGGAATACCTCACCCTTCTTGCCAATTCCGCTCTTTGATCCTCGGCCGGCAAATGCTCGTCGCCCGGTGAACCCTCGGAATACTTCTTCGATCTCTCTCTCGCTGAGCCGTGTCTCTCCATCTTCCAGACCGGTATGTAAGAGAGCATCTCTTAGTTCCGTAATGTCTATTTGTCCGTCGTCGTCGTCATCAAATGCAGCCAAAGCATTTAGAAGCTCCTGGGAAGGTGACATCGATGCCATGAGCTCCGATAGGGTATTTAGGAAAGTCGGGAAATTGATGGTTTGGCTGCCTGCGGGCGGGAAGAACCGCGACAGCGTGGATGGGGAAGAGTCTTGGCCTATGTGGGATTGCATTAGCTTTTGGCAATTGACACGAGCGAGGGGGTGCGATCCTACCCAGGGTTGTAAGCACATCAATCACATCATCCTTGTTGACCAAGCCGTCGTTATCCCGGTCCAAAACCTGGAATGCCTCTCTGATCTCCCTTACTTGGTGAGGGAGTAGCTTTCCAGCTGCATCACCAGCAAGTCCCGTAAAATCAGCGGTTCTGCTTTTCGCAATCGGTGATAGATTTCCTGGAGACCGTGCTCCTTTGGTCGGGGAAGGGGGAAGCTCTCTGCCAAAGTTGGGCTGGGGAATTGGAGACCGGCTCTTTGGAGACTGTGATCCACCATCCTCTACTGTGTATGTCTGATTGAGCTTGCTAGGGGAGACCATAGGAGTATAGCCTCGCCCAGGCGAGCTTCCTGGAGTGTTTGCTCCACGACTGGCAGAGGGTGGGGAGTTCGGCGTGGACGGCCTCCGGAAGGGCGATGCCCTTGGCGACCCAAAGGACAACGGCGATGGTTTGAAGGTGGGATTATTGGCCTAGAGCATCACAATTTCCATTAAAATGACATTTCTCTTGAACAAGTATAGGATGGCACATACCATGGCGAACAGTGTTCGTTTTATGAATTGTAAACAATGACGCTGTTATCGCCGTAAACAAGCAACAATCGGGTCACCGCCTTCCTCACCGCCTTACTGTCTGTGGGTTCTCTACCGAGTAGGCCTTCTCTCCACGCCAGATCTACGAACTAGCTAGCGTTCAACATCTTCTCAATTCTGGTAATCTTGTTGTCCTTTTTCTCTCCCTATAAAAGGTCTCATGGGCCAATTTTCCCACCTGCCACACCACGTCATAGGCTGTATCTGCATGTGCAATAACATTGCGTTGTAGATCATCTCCAATGCGATGTATCAGATCTGATAGAAAGGGATGACACTCGGATAGATCATATTTTTGGTACAATGCGAAACACTTTGTACTCTTTACAGAGTACTCCAAGGAACTTCTTAACAGTCGGAGTATCGCATCCCCCATCTGTTATCGGTAGATTCTCCACAGCGGGGAGATCGTCCTTTTTTCTTAACCCCTGAATAACCCATCGCCTACACTTATTGGCCTAAGCATTGACCATTGGCTCACTGGGTCTTTCCGAGTTTCAGATTGTACCCCCTCGGTATGCTCCTCGATTGACAGCCCATCCCCGGAGCAATCGTCTCTACACATACCTCCGAAGATGGCCACAGCGTTGCCTTATCGACCGTCAAACGACTCTCTCTCCGCCTCAAATCGCCAAACAACGGGACTACCCCGACTCTCACCAGCCCCTTCCTTCATCGGACGATCCCCCAGCAGCTCACACGGATCCTATCGCCGTATATCTACAGAAAATCCGGGCTCATCCTTCAAACCCCGCCGCTGTAAGGCACAATACCCACTGGACTCGCCTGAGCGCCATGTGGAATACATCCTTGTTGCGTCCTTCCACATTGATCGGGGGCCGATCATGGAGCATCAGTACCCCGCCGCGATCAGTGGTGATGAGAGTATGCTGGCAGAGCTGATGCTGCCCGACCAAACCCATGTGCGAAGTCAAGACTGGACCATGTTCTTCTTGCACAAGGATACCAGTGGTGACGATGACACCGACTCAGTGGGAGGGAAAAAGAAGAAACGGAAGTCAAAGTACCGTGGGAACCAAGAGGGGGCGGATATTCAAGATGAGAACTCGGACGAAGCCTCCGATGACCCAGACAGTAGTGACGACGAGGGTGGTGAAGGGCCACCATTGATGTATGTGCTGAATCTGGTCAACACGAAGCAAGACAACACGGTTCGGCGGTACGTCTATTATAATCCTCCACGATTCCGTTGTACGTGAGCTAATTTTCGTTAGTGGTGCCGTGGTCAAGGCCATGGCGATCTGTACACGACACTCATTCCTCCATATTTACAAAGTAAGCCTCCCCGGTTCTTTTTTTAAAAAAACTCAGGTCTAATTTGTATAGCCACTTCTTCTTCTGGCGCTGGAAGATTACTTTAAATCACCCTACCCTGAAACACTCGCATCTCTCTATGACGCCGTCAATGCCATGGACCTGTCGCTAATGCCGAAAATGTCCATATTGGAACGCCACATCCTGCAGTCTAGCAACACGAAGGACATGTTCTTAGAGAAGTTTGAACAAATGATTCGCCAGCGAGAAGAGGAAGAAAGTCAAGACGGCGAATGTCCACCATCGCCCAAGAAAATGAGCCGATATGTCTTACCTCGGGATACACACGAGTACGAGTCGAAAGTGGTCTATAATGACATTCCAATTCCAGTCAAGATCCCAACGGTGATTTGGCCAGAGACAGTTGGCGACTTCTCCCTCATCAAACTCGTTCAGACATTTGCCGTGCCTCATGCCACCTCTCCGCAAGCATTCCCAGCTCACCCTCATCTAACCACAAGCGGTCCCTTCACGCACCCGATAATCGTACTCGTCAACGCTATTCTCACCCAGAAGCGGGTTGTGTTCCTTGGACACAACCGACCATCCGGGGAGGTTGCAGAGGCAGTTCTGGCAGCCTGTGCCCTAGCATCGGGAGGTATTCTGCGCGGGTTCACCCGCCATGCCTTCCCTTACACAGATCTTACCAAGATCGACGACCTTCTCAAAGTCCCTGGCTTCATCGCAGGTGTCACAAACCCTACTTTCGCGAACCATCCTGAATGGTGGGATATCTTGTGCGACCTCCCAACCGGACGTATCAAGATCTCAACCCATGTCGAACCTGCCCCAGTGACAGAAGGTCTTCTGTTCTTCCAACAGCAGAATGCCCTCCTGCCAAACAACACCTCAAACACAACCCACGACCCAACAGGTGACACCCTCTTTATGGAAGACATCCTCCGAAGTATCAGCCAACGCCATGGTGAGAACGCCGTCCGTGCCAAATGGCGTGGCTACATCACCAAATTCGTGCGCGTAGCAGCTGCCTTCGAAGAAGCCGTTTACGGCGCCTCAAACCTGTACATAATCGGTCCAGGCGAAGAGCTTTCACCGGACAGCCCAACAGGACACCAGAGTGACGCATCAGACCCAAGCTCTCTTCGCGGTCATGGTTACGTCTGGACAGATGAAATGGCCAAACAGCGCGAGCTATCGGCCTCCGTCTCCCGGATTGAAGGCTGGCGCAACACCCGGTCCTATTACTCCTATATCCAAGACATTGCCGCGATGTACTTCCCCGCGCGCCCAATCCAACGCCCCGACATTACCCATCATCACGATCGTCTGCGTGCACTCAAGCTCTCGCATTCGGAATCGGCTTCCATCTACCTTGCTCTCGCTCACGCTGTCAAGGACTACGCCGGTATCTGCCAGCTGCTGTGTGTCGCGCCGGAGAACCAAGCGGGTCTCTTCTATATCAGCATGGGTCTTTTCCACCCCGATCAAGTTGTTCGCGAGGCGACGGTCGATCTACTAGACCGTATCGCGTCCCATCCGGCCGGGCGTCATTTCTGGACTCAAGTTGGTCGCTTTGCGAAATTGGGGTATATTCGTGTCAAGAGGGAGCGGGATGCTGCCACGCAAAGTCCTATCTCCGGTGCGGCTTCACCTACAATTCCAACTAGTCCCGGTGCTAGTTTTGGTGGGGAGCCGCAGAGTTTGGTTGGTGTTGCCATGGGTGGCAGCATGTCGAGAAGGAGTTGATTGACGTTGTTGTTGTTTTCTTTTGCTTATACATTCGTGAGCGTTCCTGAGGTCCCTTCTCTTTTCCTTTTTTCCCCCTCTCTCCTCGTTAGACCCGTCGGGTCTCGATTCGTGACGACCATGAAAATGGGCTATGTTCCCAAGATACGATTTCCAACCACTACTTAAGTATAGATGATTTCTTGGAATCCAAATGAATAAATACTTTACACCATATACTTCAGACGAAGCATTCAACTCACTCATATAGACAATATCACTAAGATTACATACAGATAAACCCCCAACGCTCTCGCTGACATGAAGCATAACCGTGACCCAGACGGAATCCAAAAAAAGAAAGAAAAAATTACAGAGAAGGTCTATAAACAAGACGCGACAGATTGAACGATTAGACAAAACTCAATGCGACCAGAGCTGAAATCACCATCCCAACACGGGGAAGTGGAATAGCAAGCCCAGCACCCGTAACAGCATCAGAGCCAACCGTGATATTCGTCGTCGCGAACCCTGCCCCACAATGCGCATTGATAGCCTTTGCAGAAAGAAGATACGTCGTGGCAAGAGGTTGTCCATCGACCTTTGCCCATCCAGAAAATAAATCCATACTAGCCTGCAAGCACTCACTACAGGTGGGCTTGGAACCCATCCCAAGCGAGTTACCCAGCGGCATGAAGTAAATGTTATAATCATCCGGTGAAGAAGAATTCGAGGCCGCATCGACGAAACAGTATTTTTGTGTCACGGAGTTCCTTAGACAAGTCGCACGGTACATAGGCTCATAGGCGACTAAATCTCGATATGTGCCTTTGACGACCGAGTTCCCATTGTGGTAGTCTTCGCGACAATTTTCGGATTTGAGGAGGTCGGCGGCCAGGTCATCCATGATTGAAGTGCACTTCTTAGCGTCTTGGGTGCAGGATGTTTCCAGGACGCGAGTGATTGCGGCGCTGGAGCGGAGAGTGTGGAAAAAGGCGTTGGAGTTCTCGAGAAGTAATGAGATAGCGTGACAGTCTGTTATTGTTTTGTTGGCGCGCCATTTCGTGTAGAAGTCTATGCAGGAGGTTGTGTTCGCGAAGTTGTAGGCTAGAGTATCGTATGGAGCAGGCATGTCCGTTGATGTGGTGTTCGAGGCTGTGACTATGTCTCGTGCTGCTCTCTCTTGATATATTGTCGATTGTCGATCAGCGATGATCGCTCCACTCGCATGTCTGCCTGAGTGCATGTTCGCATTTTGTTCCACCGGTTGAGCTGAAGCGATTGACAGACATAGGACGGTAATTAAGATTAGGTAGAGGGGGTTGTAGCGGGCCATTTTGGCGAATTGTCGTAAAGCCGTTCAGGATTAATAGATCGCGAAGGTATCAATTGAGATCAATATCAACGGTATATTGCAATGGCACCACCAAATTACCAACGACCCCAAACTCGGGGCAAAGAAAGAATGGCAGAAGTTTGTTTTGAAAGTTGAAATGAGTGTGTTGTAACGAGTGTGATGGAAACAAAGAACCGGGGTGATGCTATGACATCGTAGCTAGATCACTGTCGATTCCCAGGTGCGCGCGGGGTTCCCTCCAGAGTGCGAGAAGTTGAGGAAACTTGTGTATAGGGATTGAGCTCTAATAGTCCAAGGCACTAACAGCAGCCAAGGCCGAGAAACCTAGTCCGCACGCAAAAGAAGCGGAATCGGCTTAGTGCGACTGACATTGGGGCCTTAGACCCGGCGCAGAGCCTGTGCTCACGGAACTAGACCGTTCGGTGGAACTTTGGGTTCAGGGGCATTTTAAAATCGTCATTTCATTTGGCTTCGAGCCACAGCTTGTAGGGCGATTTCTGCTCGTTGATGATCGTGAGTCCAGACCGTGGGGGCCGCCGATCTTCGTTTCTTTTTTTTTTTCTCGTTTCTTTTTCCTCTCGTGCTTGTCTTTGCAGACCCAATGAGACTCAGACTGAAGCACAAGGGTGAACTGCAGGTGAGATTAAGGAGGTTACGGTCATGAAGCAAGGAGATTTTGTCCCACGAGCCCAATCCTGCGGATACTGGAGGGGCAGAGGTCTCATTCTACTCCGTTAAGAGTGCTCCGCACGTTACTCCCACTCTCTATACACACCCACCTAGGTATAACTATCTGATTTGTTGCCAAAAGAGACTCTAATCCCCCTTTCGACCATCAAACTGCATAAAATATACCCATTCTTACTTAAGTATATATTTTAGCTCACTGGGTACTGAAGAACTCTCCAGGGCTGACTAGACCGTTTGTGAACATTCAAATGTTGAATGTCGAAGGTTCCACCACACCACATACCACCGGTATTTGGTTCCTGGGTTCGACACATCATGAGACCACTGAAGTTGCCAGGTTGGACCTGATTTATATCGTAGTTGCATCTGGGCCGATGGAACTTTGGGCTCGGGATGGCCCAATGGTCCCGAACAACCTTGGAATCCAATCGCTACGCCCGTCATTTTCAAATCAAGTCAAGTGTGCTCCTAATGGCTACCTTGAACAAGAGCTACCATGTGCAGCTTGGTGATGAAACACTCCTCCTGAAGTCATGCGCGTGTCCTTTCCTGTCGACCCCGTTTATGACTTTTTGGAAAAGTGGCAGTGAATTGACCACGATCGATTGGATTTGCCAAGTGGCAGATAATCCTACGCACAACCCTGGAGAATCACCACTTACAACGCTACTTCCGAAAGTGAGATTGGGTTCGAATGGATCCTCATGGTGGAAGTATCTAAGAAGCCTCTCGCTCACTTAACTAGGTATGGCAGCATAGGAATGTTTGTCCAGGGCTCAAAGCGAAAGATAGCCCCGAAGTCCGGGACCCTCGTTCAATACCATTCCAAAGACAGGTCAATTTGTCTCTCGTGAAATCTTCCGGACATCCCATGCCTGTTGGTAATCGAATGAGGGCCATTCTCCTCTAGTCAAGGCCTGATGGAGACTCGTCTTGCTTTCCAAGGTCTGTTAGGAATGACTCCCACGAAATACAGATAAATTACTCCATGTTCCGCAGATGACAACTGAATCGATCTGTAGACAGTGTTACTAAGGGTACATATGAATCTTAGGAGCAACTTAAGTACCACATAGATGTATCTATGGCCCATTGAAAAGCCCGAAACATTGATGGATTCTGATCCAAGGGAAGTGTCATTGCTCTATCATTGAAAGTTTGATAGCCAGATACTTTAAGTAGTTCCAAGGCTCGCCTGACTACCTAAGGATCCCTCGCACCGATTACCATTTACTGAACATCCGAAGTATGCAATTTAATAACTGAACCTGGTCCGTTAAAAGTGGCAGCTACACAGGCGGAATAGGAAAGCCGGCAGTAAGTCTAGGTCCGATAAGCCAATTAGGTAAGAGGAATTTCGGCGACATCTGGGACTTCCCCCACATATTATCGTACTACTCTACACACACACTCTCTCTCTTTTCACTCATTGCATCATGTCAGATCAATTGGTGCCCGAAACACGGGTGCTTGCCGTGGCCAGTCATGTAAGTGTTCAGTCTGCTACTGGGTGCCTCGACTAACATCGTAACAGGTCGTCTACGGGTATGACTTCCATCCCACCACTTTGGACCTGTCACTAACCGATGTCCAGCCATGTTGGAAATACGATGGCAACCTTTGTTATGCAGTCCCTTGGCTGTGAAGTTGCGGCCTTGAATACCGTGCACTTTAGTACGTTACAACGCATTTGCGGCATTGGCATTCTGACTCACGACAATTGCAGGTAACCACTCCGGCTATCGCCAACTGAAAGGAACCCGGGCTACTGCACAGGAGATAGCAGATCTGTACCAGGGCCTGTGTCAGAGTAATCTCATCGACTTCGACGTCATGCTTTCTGGCTATGCCCCAAGTGCAGCAGCGGTCGAGTCCGTAGGTGCCATCGGCATTGATCTGCAACAAAAGGCAGAGAGCAAACCAGGTTCTTTCTTCTGGGGTAAGAACGCTTATCGTCCCTTCGGTTACAGGCGCTGATGATACCAGTGCTGGATCCGGTAATGGGCGATCAGGGTCGTCTATACGTCAACGACGATGTGATTCCCGCCTATAAAAAGATCATCCCATACGCGGATCTGATTCTGCCCAACCAATTTGAAGCCGAGTAAGACGCCAAAGTGCATGTTCCCGGAAATCGCTAATTGTATCAGAGTTCTCTCCGGCATCAAAATCACTTCACTGGAAACCCTAGCTGAAGCAATTACTGTCATTCACCGCATCTACTCTGTCCCTCATGTCATCATCACGTCCGTGCAACTATTCAAGCTCTCTCAAAGTGGCTCCACCCCTCCACCCCCAGAGAACTTCTTAACCGTCATCGGCTCCACTATCAGATCTGACGGGTCCCCCCGTATCTTCCGCGTCGACGTGCCGGCTCTGGACTGCTTCTTCAGCGGCACAGGCGATATGTTCGCTGCACTGACCGTTGCCCGACTGAGCGAGGCGGTCTCAGACACCGCCGGTGATCTCCGTGCCACCAAGTCGTGGGTTTCCCCTGATAGTGTCCCAGCCGTGGACCTGCCGCTTGCAAAGGCTACCATCAAGGTTTTGTCTAGCATGCACAGCGTGCTGGAGCGGACGCTTGAGAGCCGCGATGCCGAACTCGCCATTGCGGTTCCGGCGGCCAGTGAGCAGCTATCGGAAGAGGAGGCTACAAAGAGGGATTATCTGCGTCGTACCAAGGCTGCGGAGGTTAGGCTCGTGAGAAATACAAAGGTTTTGAGGGATCCGAAGATTCAGTTTGAGGTGCTGGGCTGGCAAAAGGAGGATCTTCCAAGGCATTTACAGTGATTCATTTACATCATCTTGCATGATAGATAGATAGATGTCATCAGATCTCACCGAGCGTTTCGGGGAGACCTGTTTCGGTTGTACATATATTTAATTCAAGATCATAAGAGCTGCCCAGGTGTTGGTATCTCTCCTTTTATTCTTTTCATCGTAAACAATCATGTACCAGTCATAAGCAGGCATTGAATCTTTTGATTGTATCCTTTTTTCTTTTTTCTTTTTCGTCTGAAGGCGTTTGGTCCTAAACGCCGGTGCTTCCAAAGCCACCGGCACCACGGACACTTTCCTCCAGCTCCTCGACAACGCTGACCTCGGGGGTATAAATCTAACACAAGTCAGCATCTCACCATATCAATGCTTCGAATGTGACTCACCCGCTCAAGAACAAGCTGGGCAACGCGGTCACCCGTCTTGATGGGGAAGTCAACGTCAGAGTGGTTGAACAGAAGCACCTTCACTTCACCACGGTAGTCGGCATCAATGACACCAGCACCAGTGTCAATGAAGTGCTTAGCGGCAAGTCCACTACGAGGGGCAATGCGACCGTCTGCAATCTTATCAGCCACTTCACTCTAGCGTACGAGTTCCCTTAGACAAACGTACAAGTTCCCTCGGGCACAGCGATAGCGATTCCAGTGTCAACGCCAGCCTTACCCTTGGCCGGAATGACAGTCTCCTTCGCGGCGTAAAGATCGTAACCGGCAGCAAAAGCCGAGCCTCGGGTCGGTGCCTGCGCAGTCTCGACGAGCTTCTTCACGAGAAGTGGGGGCAGCGGCTGCTGGATCGAGGTCACGGCGGGGGCAGTCATATCGGGCTTTGAGCGCTTCGCGTTCGGAGAGGATGGCAATGAGGGAGGGTTGTGGGCTGGCTTGGATTCGGTTTCGCTCATGGTATGTGGATTGAGGATCAATTGAGGCGGATGGGCGGTTCAAATACCCCACTCTTGCACGCAAGTGATGCCCCTAGCTTCCCAAAAAATTGCGGTGAGCTCCACGCGCGCGTTTCACCGCCGCGACGCGACGTTTGTTCTGTTTGTTCTGTTTGGCTTCTCCCCGCTCTCGAGCGGTGACGCCGAGGACATGCTGGGGCCGAGGTTCCCCGGTAACATTGGATGGTCGCATTTAATTGCTGGCCGCCCCTATATCCCCATACTTCCTGTGTTATGAAGACTATTGCTTGAGAATATACTTTGTACATTCTTCGGTTTTAGTTCCTTCTTGTTTACACTCATTATTGCAATCATGGCGGGAGAAGTGCGCCAACCCATAGACGTTCCCTCGTTGGAGCGGTACATTGACCAGAATGTGTCGGAGATCAAGACTCCTCTCGATATCAAACAGGCAAGTCCCTTCCCCCTTTGAATTGTGATGCACGAACTAATCCAATGGCGTTGTAGTTCGGTTTCGGTCAATCAAATCCCACCTATTTGCTTACTGCCGCCGATGGCAAGCAAGTCGTTCTGCGCAAGAAGCCTCCCGGCAAGCTGGTCTCCAAGACAGCCCATAAAGTCGAACGCGAGTACAAGATTATCAGAGCATTAGGCGACACAGATGTGCCCGTCCCTAGGGCATACTGCCTATGCGAGGACAGCAGCGTCATCGGGACACCTTTCTACATAATGGAGTTCTTGGATGGGCGGCATTTCACTGATCCAGCGATGCCTGGCGTGAATGCGGAGGAGAGGACTGCACTGTACGTCACGGTAGATGGAGACCTCGTTGGAGACCACAGATACTGACCTTCGCTCCAGGTGGAAGAACGCCGTCCAAACCCTCGCCAAGTTCCACAGCGTGATCCCTAAAGCTGTCGGGCTTGAGACCTTCGGCAAGCCGACAGGCTTCTTCGACCGCCAAGTCGCGACCTTCACCACCATCTCGAAAGCACAAGCGGCCGTAGTAGACGCCGACACGAAAGAGCCCGTCGGCGAACTCCCCCATTTTGACGACATGGTCAACTTCTTCTCGCAGAAGGCCACGCAGCCTCGAGACCGCGGCACTCTCGTGCACGGAGACTACAAAATCGACAATATGATCTTCCACAAGACAGAGCCGCGAGTGATCGGCATTCTGGACTGGGAAATGGCGACGGTGGGCCACCCACTCTCCGATTTCTGCAATCTCACTAGCCCCTACACCATGGATGGCGCCGACAGCCAGCTGTCGCAGTTCAAGCCGGGTGTTGTTCCAGGCCTGCCGGGGCGCCAGGAGTGCATCCGCTGGTACGCCGAGACGTCTGGGTACGAGACTGGCTCTGACGTCGCGTGGGGCGACGCATTCTTTGCGTTCCGGGGATCCGTGATTATGCAGGGCATTGCGGCCCGGTTTGCTGGGCGCCAGGCTAGTAGTGCCCGTGCTGAGGATTATGCGAAGCGGGCGAAACCGTTCGCGGAGGGCGCTTGGGAGAGAGTTCAGGCTGTGCAGAAGGCGAGTCTGAAAGGAAAGCTGTAGTGGCTAGCTGTGGATCGATTTTTTTTCGGACTACTATATAACCTAGATGTACATATGAAGCACTTTTACGCTATCTCACCCTTTTTTTTTATTGGAAAAAATGATTTCTCCATTACTCCGTATTTTCACCCTAATTTTCCACCGTTCTTCCGTTTGGGCCCTTCGCCTATCTTAGCTTGATGCATGTTGGACATCTCGATCCGAATCTCACCCGAATGACAGATTCCAGATTACTGTCTAGTCCAGGGCCGATATAGGGATTCCCGACCGATATAGGAATGATTTCCAAGTCAACAAAGTATGAAACAGCCAAACATAAGTACAAGCATGAGGACCTTGTACTTTTGACACCTGACGTGGTGTAAGTAAGCACTTGGCCCGATAGGGAGCCGAGTCGAGACCTCCCCAATTCACACAGGAAATCTGAGCTCAGAAAACGAGTCGGTGGTGGGATTTAAATGAAACGGAGAAATGAACACCAGGAATAATATAAAGTCAAATCATCGAGAGTTAAGGGAGGATGCGAAATTGAGGAAAACTTAAGAAGAGGGGAAGAGGCTTTGCTGGCCCTGCGGCTCTACGCGTAAAGTGAGGCTGAGGGGGTGAAGAACTCCACCTTTTCCGGTATTTTACCATGTATGGTCACGCAGGTTTCGGGTGGTGTCCGTAAAATCAGTTTAGCTTCGATAGTCCACCGTATATATAGTAGTAGGGCCGACTATCATTAGCAACCTCCGTGTACTCCGTCCTCCGTAGCATAAGACACTAGTAGCATGCACAATGGCATGTCACCTCTAAACGAGGCTCTGAAACAACGTGGGCCCCGGCCGATCTCCTTGCCGCAGACAGCGCCTCAAACCGGATGGATCCTAAGTCTGACGTGGGAGTTCCTCTCGGTTGAAGGATAATTGCGACTTTGTGTATTCTCGAAACGTGTTGAGACAAATCAGAGAGCCGAGAAATGGCGGGACAGAACAGGGAACTGAAACGAGAAAGAGAACAGAGCGTTGTGGGCCTGCACAACGGTAAAAGGACTGGGGGAGTGGAGGCCGACTCACAGCCAGTCGCACCCGACTAGCGGTGGAGTGGTCTTATTATTGTCATGCTACCGATGGAACTTATTGTTTTATTATACGAGTGCTAAAATATTCTATTGTATCCCCATACTTTATTTGAATCCCCTGCTATTACTCCGTAGTCTCATTGCAATCGAATGGGATATCGATTTAGGACCAGAGTTCTGTATAATCGAGAGTACCTAGGTAACCGTACAAGTAATCTAACGTACCATACACGTATACTAGAGGGTTACTCCACCCTACCAAACTGGGTATTATGTATGGAGCCTGAGAGCCGCATCCCCCGACTCTCTCTCTCTCACTCCCTCTTCTCTCTCTGTCTCTCTTCGACGTTTATTCTCCTTTTCTCTCTGCCTTTTTTTTTTTTCTTTTTTCTTTTTTCCACTAACCCCCCTCCTCTTCAGACCCTATCAGAGTGTGTTGAGTTGACCTCGACTCACGTGGAGGAGCGTGATATTCGTCTCGGTCTTTCACTCTTTTTTTTTTTTTTACAAAAATTCTCTTTCCCTCCCTTGCGGAAGTGAGGAACTATCATCACTGGATCTATCATCTGCAGATGGGCGCTGGGACATTCGGTCCTTGAGCCTCACACGGGACCCATATCATTACCCGTCCACCTTTCTCCGCTTGGGTAAGTGCACCTTTTTCTGCAGAAACCGGGCCTTGGGAGGTTCTGCCTTTTTGTCTTAGATTCCCCATTTTGTGCTTTTTTTTTCCTTCTTTTTTTCCCCTCGACTTCTTTATTTCATTATTTATTTTTTTTGCTTTTTTGCTTTTTTGATCCTTCTCTCATGGGCTCTTTTATATTCAAGGCCTACCCGATTCCATCTTAGCTTCCCTAATCTTTGGTTCCTTGTTTCTTGTTTTGAGCCGCTTGGGGTTGCGGGTGTGATCCGGATAACCCCTCATCTCTCTTCTCAACGGACACGCGCATTATAGCGGACTCGCCTGCATTATTCAACCCGATTTTCGGAATTCGTCAATCGTTTCTAACTCAACTTCTAGGCTATTGCGTCCGTTCTGATGTGGGATTGCCCGTCAGATCAATCAGTATAAAACCGGGTGCCTGATGCACCCACTTTTATTATGACGTCCAATATGTATGATTCGGACGAAGCTTGTAATAAATCGCCGCCGCTGGTAGCGATAAAGCCCAACTATGGAGAGGACAAACCCTCAACACCACCGTTTGTCTCTGTCCCGGAAAATCAGGCCGATGCAGCGGGTCAGTCCCGTAAGCACCAGCCGGAGCCGCACTCACCCCAAACCCACGAGGGCGACCGAGTGCTGATGGGGTATCTAGCACCGAACTTACCACATATTGCGGAGATAGCAAGGGATCGCCCACTGGAGCCAATTCACAAAGACCGAAAAAAACCTCTTCAACCGCCAGACTTTATTCCCCCAAAGCCAGTTCCTGTTGGGATTGCTCCTCGGTTAAAGGAGCCGGACCAGGTACCTCCCGCTGCCATTGAAGTGAGAATTCCTGAGGGAGCCCTGCAGAATACACAGACTCTGCAACCGGATGGCTTTAAGGAGTTGGTCTCAGCAAGAAGTCGATATAATTCCTTCAGTGACCTGAGCCGACGACCCTCATCAGACTTCTCCAAATCCCCTCCGGAGATCAAACACCGACTCTCAGTCTCTACTTTAAAGCCAATTGATGCATCATGCCTGGCCAAATCGCCCGACAGCACCCAGACCCTGCCTCCTATTCACAAAGCTCTCAGCGACTTGTCCGACTTTGGGCCTAGTGTCACCACAATGGCATCCCCCTACCCCTACTCCTCGCTGCCCGGATCTGCAGCATCAGGGACTGATTCTCCATATCCCTTCCCGACAAAGTTCTCCATGGCCGCAAGCTTGTATCCATCTCATATATCGCCTGTGAGCATGAAGGACAGCTCCACCAACCCTTCTCCAGCCTCACAGGCTTCCTTCTGGCGTGCGCCCACATCGGAGATGTTGTCCGCCCAGACTCCGTACGAGACTTCGCGCATCACCGCTACTAGTCCGGCAACCAGCTATCCCACACCCACAGAGCAAGTCGGCGTTGGCATGGGCGACCGGGTGTCGCTTGCCACACCTAACGGCGGGTCCGTAGGTAGCTATAAGTGCACGCATCTCGGGTGTACAGCTGCGCCCTTTCAAACCCAGTATCTCCTCAAGTAAGCATATAACCCCCAACTTTGGAAAACTCCATGATCAAAGAGCTCACATCATTCAGCTCTCATGCGAATGTGCACTCGCAAGACCGTCCTCACTTCTGCCCAGTAGAAGGGTGTCCGCGATCCCTGGGTGGCAAGGGATTCAAGCGCAAGAATGAAATGATGCGCCACGGACTAGTCCATAATTCCCCCGGTTACGTCTGCCCCTTCTGCCCGGATCAGCAACACAAATACCCACGTCCAGATAATCTCCAACGGTTTGTACCTCCCGCAGCCCCGAGAATCTGACATCAGCTCACCTCTCACAGACATGTCCGCGTCCACCACGTCGACAAAAACAAAGACGATCCCGTCCTCCGCCAAGTCCTCGCTCAACGTCCCATGGGCAGTGCTCGTGGGCGAAAGCGAAGAATGAATTAATACCTAACCATCCTATCTCTCCATCTCGTTGATCATTGCCATCCACTACCTCTCGCTTACTGGTGTTCCTAGTTTTAGCACCGATGTACCACATCTACATGCCACGGCGTATTGCGTTCTCGCATTGTATTCACGCGTGACGATTTTCCTGTGATACCTCCCTCTTCCTCCTCTTTAACCGCTTACCCGCCGTGGTATTCGTACTTCTGTTTTCTATCGGTGCAATGATACCACCTGTCTTTGTTAGATGTCATGTCACATGAGTCATTCGTTAGCGTTCTACTTTTCTATACACTTGTCTGATCAATCGATTGACCCCGCGGGGACCTTCTTGAAAAAGTTTTTGCCTATCCTCTCCATTTTGGAATCTGACTCGACACTCGTTCCGTTCAATTGGGCGTTAGCTCCTTCATCCAGGCGGAGTTTGGCGGCGCCATTCCACTTCGGGGTTTGATCGCTGCTTCATAATTGGACATGGGGCTCCATGCGTTTGCGGGGTATCGGGTTCCCATTGTCTTTGAGAATCCTCCTGCATGCATTCGGGCAGCCATACCTGTGACATTTTTCGAACTAGAGTCTCAATTCTCCCACTAACCTGGGTTGGATATCACATTTGTGATCTGGAGGCTTGGGAATGATCCACGTTGTGGGATGCTTCGAGCATCTGTCGTTTATCATCGCGGCTCCTGCGGCCATCAAGTAGCCGTCCACCAATCAACTTCCAAGGGTTGTGGACCTCATCCTCCAGCTTCGGTATGTACTCACACTTTGACCTCACTTTTACACTTTTTGACCTTAGCTTTGATGTCACGTTGTCTTGTTTATGCCATTCGCCCACGATAGTCTCTTAAAATACGAGTGGATTATCGCCATACGTGAATGTTGGCCGTGCTTTTCATGCATCATCTGATACTCTGATAGCCGCCTGCGGCGACAAGTGGCAAGTCCCCATGTCGTATCGCATGAAACGAATGCCCCATACTGTTGGGCCCATCTGAAATACATGATGGGCGTCAAAAGCCACCGTGCACGTACGAGTCACCGGTAGAGCCTTTTATGCTTGCCATATCCGAAGACACCGGTTGACGACCACCGCAGCGGACAGTAACCGCGATCGGAAAAGGCCACAATCTCAAACGGGGGAAACGCTTTATGGAGATAGATCGGTGCGGTGATATCCTTGGTGTACTTCTGGAAGGCGTGAACGGACACCATGCTCTGGAATCCACCACCTCCAGGACTCAGCACTCTCCATGGCAGTTGAAACCTTGGATGAAGTTTGGGTCGTCAAACCCGGCCTATGTCAAATATTGTGGTGGACTATCCGAGCTAGCTCCTGTGGGCCACTTTTGAATATTGTCCAGACCTTTGATGGACTCGTTGAAGACATAGAAAACCTGAAAGAAATCACCATTCGTAGAAGGCATTTTGATTGAACATCTTTCACGGGGTACTTGGATCAAAATGCCACCGTCCCTGCTGCAGAGGGAATTGGACTAGACGGTAAACTTCCCTGCTAGGCCCAATGGTCTTGGCCCCGCGTTGCCAGGAGAAAGAAGGGCAGTTTCACGGTGGTGAGATATGTGGGCTTGAGCTTCGAGCTTCTGTGGAATCCTCCTCTGGTGTTTTTGCAATTTTGCTTTCGCGAGGCTCCCTGTTCGAGTTGTCTTGGTTCATTGAGAATGAAAGCATGCCTTCTGGCTAGGTCAACGCTGAGACCAGAAGTTCAGTATAAGGTCCGCATTGCTGAAGAACACTTCGTTGAGCATCCTCCGACCTCTGTGTCACTTGTTTTAAAAGTTCTATTATGGGCGGGTTCATCGAGTGCGATGTTTGATAGAGAAGGGGTGGGGTTTCTTCAGCCCCGGACAGGGGTACGCGTTCAGCTGGCCAGCAACAGCGCTAAAATTAGTTGTTTCATATACTGCTAACTTCTGCAGCTCCCACTCTAGACTTTCGTTGGGATTCCGTCCGTTGCTTTTGTGCTTTTCTCGCAGAGTGATAACATGAGGCTATTCAGAAGCAAGTTGAAAGGCAACTCCCGTGACCCAGTACAAAATCTGTGAGATATCTGATGAAAACGAAACACAGGATTAAGCTTACCGTCCCAAGATACTCTACCGACGGTCCTGTTGGGATGAGAATTCTCTCTGATCCTTCCAACGCTGACCTGGAGTGAGTGTTACCAGGAGAGAAGTTGACAGATCGATCGATGTCACAGCTTATTGACATAGACCAGCATCATATTCGTCCACGGACTTACTGGCAACCGCGAAAGAACATGGATTCATAGCAACGGCACATTCTGGCCCCAAGATCTCCTCGCTAATGACTTCCCGAGAGCGCGCATCATGACTTACGGCTACGACGTGAATATATTTAGAAATGCGGCAACATCAGACCTACTTTATGACTGTGGCCAGTCATTAAGTTATTCAATTGTCAGCCAACGCATCGACTGTTCGACCAGACCCATCTTGTTTATCGCACACAGCCTAGGGGGACTGATATGCCAACAAACTCTGATACTCAGCAATACCATAGACGGGCTTTGGCAGATTGCATCAGGCTCCATTGGAATAATATTTATGGGAACACCTCATTACGGATCTTCGCTCGCGTCATACGTGGATAAAATCGCGAAATGCATGAATACGGGGCTTTTCACGGACAGAGAATTTGACGGTACTTTCTATCCGGGTTCAAATGATTTATATCGGGTCGGAAATGAATTTCAACTCATGCTTCACCGCGGCGATCTCTGTCTCAGGGTCTTTTGTTTCTATGAGGCCTTCGAGATGAGTGATGAGGTCGGCAAGATTGTGGAAGAACATTCCGCAGTTCTCAGAGGATATGAGAACTGCAGCGTTGACACAAATCACGCCAACATGACAAGGTTCCGTGGGCGGACTGACGGGTGTTATCATCTCATTCAGTCGATCATAGCGAAATGGCTTCGAGATCCCGAGAATGAAGCAAAGAAAAGATCTGCCTCTCTCGGGGCTGATTCCACTCCATGTCCCCCGTGGCTTCGGCCGCTTGATACTGAGCCCTTTGCAACGCCGGTCTATGCGGAGTCGAGCCCAGAGTTCAATACATGGTCCCCTGTTTCTGCTCCTCCAATGGAGGAGAGATCATGGGCCACAGACACCAGTCACTTTAACAAATTCTACAATACTAGGAGCTCGATGCAAAAGTAACGGTCGGACTTGGATGCGGGGCTTGGGGCCTATTGACGCGATGTGTGAACGAATAGGTCTCATAGAGTTGGCATGGATTTGAATCTGAAGTGTTGGATCCCAGATCTTCCAAAGTTGTAAGATTTCATTCTGAGCCTAATCACTGAGTGCCATTCGGTATACGACGTTGCAGCAATTATCACAATCCTGGCATGGATATACTTGAGTCAACCCGAGGTTTGCTCCAGGGTTATGATTAGGTTGGCGTTAGCGTGTCTTATGCCATTGGAAAGCTCCGAGTTATACTTAAGTAAGCTTTTAAGGCATTTTGATTTTAAACTCATTTTGTAGATACCTTGTAGCGAGTACAAAAGGGAAAGGGGGCAAAAGAGTGATCCCTACATTCAGCTCCCAAAAAAAGCCCGGGCAAAAGTCTCGTTTGCGGCTCTTCGGTCGAACCCGACGGACCAGTATTCGGTGTTTAACGCTATACTCCCGAGGTCTACTTTAATCTTGATGTTTTATTTGAATTCAGTGATGACGTGGGATAAACCTGGCTTCAAACCCCGTTGAATCTCCCCTTGGTTATTTTAATTGGTAGTATCTTTCCGAATAGCAACGCCTTGGTAAATGTAATTTTTGGCCTGATTTCCCTTCAATGGATATAATTAGTTAGCCAAGAGATATATCACCCTACTGAAGAGAGTGACAAGGCGCCTTCACCACTATTATTAGATTTGTTCATCAAAGAATTACGGTTTCATCCTGCCAATTCCCGTCAAACGTTCAGGGCACGTAAAGGACCACAGTACTACCGGGTGCAGGCCTAATGGAAATTATGTCCATGTGCATGAAAGTATCATGTGGTCTACTTTAGTCCATCGCTGACTTTTCTAATCCAAAATAAGCATTTTTTAGCGGCTTGTGTCGGCATGACATACTATTCGCTACACATCTGAGTCCTGGAGGTCCTCGCGGAAAGACTCTAGCTGTAGTTGCTATTCTTTCATTGAAGAAGAATTTTCTTTTTGGTCAAATCAAGGAGGATGCAACGGTGTCTCCCAGGTGGTGCACTTGAGCAGGTGTGCTGGGATCCCCAAAGCCATGGGGCCTCGTTGTCTACCAGGATGCTCCATGTGCACCAAGCATCAGAGCAAGCGTCATGACTCGGTAAAACGCAAATTAAACGGTCACAATGCATGGATAATATGTAGACTTTTTGGGAGATTTACATTGGCCAAACGCGCTCAGAATAGTTGAACTCTCAATAGGAACGACGTGCATTCATTACGCACTTGGATCATATTTTGATATGGCACCTGGGTAACAACATTCATCTGTAACATTTTAATCCCGAAAATTCTGAGGAATAACGAGTCCAGCAATTTACCTTCAGCTAGGAATTCAGTACACAATACTCTAGACCAAGTTCTGAAGTTTCATACTTCGAGAGATTCTCTATCCACCGAGCACCCGTGGACTTCAGGACGTAACCGACTTCATGATTTTTTTAAAAAACTCTTTTATAGAACAAAGTCAATCCTCGCCAGGAGACATAACCGACCCTATTCGTTTCGCCATGCCCAGTTCCAGTTTACCTCCCAGTACTGATACAACGCTTCCAAAAGAAAACCAAACAAACATATAGCCACATGATCTCATCATCCACATAATAATCAAATATATCAACCCTTTGCAGTTCCTGCCTTCCTATGGATTCGCCTAACATGATCCTTCATGTTGTCGACCCGACTAAACACCTTTCCACAGCCTTCCCATTCACAAAGTACCCCAGGATTATGCTTCGCTTCATGGCGAGCACGATCCTTCTTGCTGCTGAACCCATTCTGTGTGGACTGAGGACACTTCTCATAACGACAGAAGAGATACTTCCGGTGGCGGTTAAAATGCTTTCTCAAATCACAGCCTCGTTTGAAGAGGAGTTGTGAAGAGCATCCTGGGTGGGCGCAGCGCCAAAGCCCATCACCTGTCGGGATACCATAGTTTCTCAAGTCGCTTGCGTTGGAGGCAGAGCTGGGAGGTGGAGGGGAGTCTGAGTCTGAGAAGGAGCGGGGTGGTGAAGAGGATATTGACACCGTCGTTGCTGTAGATGTGTATGGGTTGGTGTTTTGGGATGAGCGTGGGGCTGAGAACAAGGATTCTGGGATCGGATCGGGAAGTGGAGCGGAGGTTGGGGCTGTAGGAAGCCATTGCTCATTGGCGTTCACGTCAAAGGCAAAATAGGGCTCTGTTGGGACCATAGGACCCCTATTTGGGTACGAATGGGACTGGTAGAATTCCCCTGTGGGGGTGCTGTCAATGCACCATTTGCCGATTTGCTGGGGATCATATCCCGACATATTTGAGGTATTGGTCGTGGCTGGCAAGGCGACCGAGGCATCATACGCCTGCATGAAGGATGTGTTGGCCTCGGAACTGGTAGAAGCTTCAAAGGACATGTGTGAAGAGGTGGAGAGGATATCTGTATTAGAGATTGTGGACCATGCGTATGGGGAGCCGAATGTGTCTGCTCCTAGCGATCCTCGTCGTGTCGAAGGGCAATTTTCCGGGGCTAAGAAGCTGCGCTGATCTCGAGGGCACATTAGGTCCCACTGTTGAAGGTCGGAGAGTTCAGAATTCGATGCGGCGCCGTTAGAAACGCCAGTAAGGCCTCCCATGTTTTGAGGCTGGAGGACATCCGAGTAACCTGCACTTTCAGGTACAGTGTTGTACATTGTTCTTGATCGACGGTGGCTAGGATACATATCGCGTGTTGCAATATTGGAAGAGATGAGATGCCGGATGGTTGTGCGTCGGGAAATAGAAAAGTGCAAATCTCAAATCTCAAATCACTTCAAAAAGGATCGAGTATATTTTCTATATGGACCTCTTTTCCCATATCAATTGGAGTATGTGTTGTGGGTTTTTCTTTTCCAAAATTGGACCTGAACAGTTGTATATGCACTCGAAGAAGCCCGACGAGGTCGAAGACCGAACGCGTTATAACTTGTTGGCTGTGTTATGCTGAGCTCGTGTTTAAAGCCAAGACACAGCCAGTTAGACGTTATTTATGATAATTGCCAGTGGACGGGGGGCAGTGCTGTAAGTAAGAATCTCTAGGCGTTCCGTAACAGGAAGTGAAACGTCGATGGATCTGCAAGTTCTCGATATAGAATTTAACAACCATTCCCCCCAGGCATAGCAGCTGATACGGTTCCCTCGGATATTGGGGTCCATGAATCAAGGTGATTCAGAAATGGATGGATAACCAGGGCCGGGGCGGGTTTGTCCTTGGCGTGATCGACAACCCAGTCAGAGCTTGCAGGTTCCGGTCTACCAAGTGAATACCCATTGTGGACATATGGAGCGCTGCCAAATACGGTATAGGGCTGAAAATAGGCCACGACGTATGGGTCCAGGTATTCTCATTCATTAGAGAATAGGGTTTTTTGAGTCAACTAGACACATGGATCTACCGAGGGAGGTACCTTGTAGGCGTGGTGTCTTCTTAGCCTGTGCATGTTTTCTATACATGGGGTTTAGGGTCTTATTGGCCCGTTCAAAGCCACATTGTGCCCGGAACCCCGGGGCTCGAGCCAGGATTTCCCCCCAGCCTTACAGATGCTGAAACATCGTCGATCTGTGGACGGCGTAGACTATATCCCCTCCAAACACGTGGAGGAGAACATGTTAGGAGCCGCATGCACATATTACACAGACTCGTACACACGCGAATCCATTGCCAGCGAGGTAGTTCTCTACCCCGTTCACCCTGCTTGAGTCAGCCTGAACGTAACGTTAAATCGAGAGGTGGTATTTCTTGCGCGTCTGACTAGGAGCTGGGATGGATAACTTGTCCGTTGATCATTGCTTAAGTCAGGCATCAGCGCGGGCGGGCGGGACTTGACAAGATCCACCAAGAACGGCATGGGATGCATCAGATGCATAGACTTCAGCCATGATGCCGAAGTCTGACACCGACGGCTAACACCGTCTGTGGATTTCGGACAAGCCTAGTGTGCGCGGTGATAGGGTGGTGCGGGAAACCCTAGTGCTTATCCCTGCTCTCGGCCACTTATGTTGTCCCGTGGAGGTGGAAATACGGGCCCCCCTCAAAACTAAGGAGCGGTGTCCTGAGGATCTGCATGAGCCTCATTCAGAGGCTTCATAAACATCACATTCCAAGGTTGTTTGATAGATTTGATAACTAAGTCCATACTTACTTAAGTAAGTACTCCATAACAAGTCATGAAGTCATGCATTTGCTAAAAACGGTAGGTTGTGGACTTGGAAGTGACGTTATGCACCTTCGTGACACCAATCGGCCATCTAAGAATAAAATAAACAATGTCTTGAACTATAAACAACAAAACAACCAAGATTGTACTCCCAATGGAACGGTCTATCTTGCATATCTAAATCGTGGCTCACCAAGAACCACCCATGACCATATGGTCCAGGCTGAGTGAGATCGTTGACGATCAACCGCCCCCACAATCGGCCCTTGCTTCAAACAAAAATAGGGTACCAGGTCTAATGTCTTAAATTCGGCCCCCAAGGCGTGGGGTCCGTCGCAAACTCATTTCCCTAAGTAGTTGCCGTCAAACCCGAGTTTCGGCATTACCTTGTTCCACCAAGAGAGGTGTCTGCTCGCTGGGCCCGGCTGTTTCCTTGGGGCCTGAGCTCTTGCGGTATAAAAGGTAGTGTTGAATACAGAAGATTGCATCGAAAAAGATGCTGACGTTGCCAAGCAGCAACTTAACCGGATTGCCGGTAATTCCACTCCAGTCCCCCTGGAGGCTGGCGTCCAACACGAGCTGAGCCATGGAGAGCACTCCGCCAGCCATGTCAAAAAGACAGGTCCCAATTTTCCATCCAGAGGTAGATTTGTGCTTGTAATTCAAGTACACCTGTGGCATATACTTCACAATGGTGACCAGGAGCTTGATGTACGAGAACGAGTAAATCTGGTGAGTGTGAGTGTTACTGGTCCTCTTGGCACTTCTACCATTCTTATCCTTGTTCCACGCTGGACGATTCTGTTGGGGTCTCAGATTTTTGTACTTACCACATCGATCCAAGCCCACGACGAAGCATCGTACCCGCCATCCGGACTTTGCGACAACACTATGCCCACAACCACCACGGGCGCCAGAACACATGCCCACCAAATGAGCGCCATTGACCTGCTTATCCGTTGGGAACGTCCCACATAGAACCCCCAAATTGATGGCCAGAAGTGGGTGTAGACAATGGAACTTAGGACCACTGCGTGGGCTGCAAATGCAAAGTCGTTGAACCGGACAGTCGGCTCAACGGAGGCAGGATGCCGGTCCGCATATTGGGATCTAATCACGGGCGAATAAAGAAAGGCGGATGTATAGATTGCGTAACTGACAAAGCCCAGTGGATTGATGGCGCATAGATCAATAGACAAGCCGAGTGTGGATTTGCGCTCCCAGTTGCCGAGGGGTTGGGGATAAAATGATCCAGACCAGCATAGCATACTGTGATAGAGTTAGCTCCCAATATGGACACGTTCTCTATGCCCCGGACGAGTGTACTAACTATGCCCACCCTAAGAAGCTGTACGATAGGTTAGAGTTCTGTTTATCCTGTCGGAAGCAAGAGGAGTTCACAAACCGGGATAAAGCTCTGATAGATGTCTCTAGTTCGGGTGTCATAGTGAGTTGATTGATTTGAAGAGTTGTAAGAAGAACATTGCTTCGTGCGGGGAATATAAGGTCCTCTCGCACGCGATCGCGACACTACGGATCATCTGGACATTAGTGGCGGCGTGACCGCCCAACGGCCACAGATCCACACAGGTCACCTGATCTTGATTATCAGATGGATCATGTAATCGCATGTGACACAGAGTCACCTGACCTATGGCGGTGGGTCCCGGGCTGATCCACGGCTGGTTGTCGGGGTTATGCGCTGGTGTAAACACTGGGGAATCAGTCAGCCTCTTGTTGTGGTCCCTCTCTTACCTGCGTGACGCATTTCCATTTCATATTCACCTTGTCGGGCCCTTTTGAAATTTGATTTTTATCACCTGTTCCGATTCTGTACCACTGCGTTTCCTTGCTTTCCTCGCGCTTCATCGCAATCGCCTACATCGATAAATCAACATTTCCAACGCTTATCCTATAGGTTGGTCAATCGACATTCAATTGATCATTCGGTAACAAGCATTCCATTCACATCACACTCCGCTGTCACATGGTGCATTCCTCGGATCGGGAGACCGTGAAGGATCTCCTCCGGTAAATCCAACATTCCAGACTGAAGATCGTGCGGTTTTGCGGCATAAATCGACACGATGTCAGACTCGGGTCTTTCCGCTGCGGGAAGCAGTACATACGCCTCGAATACCCTCCATGTTGGGGATGGGACTTGGGACTCGGGGCGTGATACCTTCCTGCTACCCAACTTAATGGGTGTCAATTTTGAGACAATGCGATACAATGGTGAGTCCCGTGCTTCAAATGGAACATGTGTCCATCACAAAAATATAATTTTCTCCGAGCTTAATCTGACTGACATTCTACAGGCATGGGAAATCGTTTCAAGGATATGGCCGGATATCATGCCCTAATTATTGCGCACGGCGTCATTGCAACCATCGTTTTCCTAGGCATCGTCCCAACCTCCGCTATAATCATCCGGTACTACTCTCGATGGAATCCGTATTGGGCATTCAAGCTACACGCCTGGTGTCAGGTCTTGACCTTGCTCCTGACTACAGTCGTGTTCGTGCTCGGGTGGTTCGCCGTCGGGCCGGCACGAAGCCTGACCAATCCCCATCATGGAATTGGCCTGGCAATTTATGTGATTGTCATTTTCCAAGTGCTGTGGGGCTGGTTTCTGCATAAGAGAGAGAGCAAGAGGCAAAGAACCCATGTTCCCATGAAACTGGTGGTAAGTGGTCGTTGGCACGAGGTTGGGTGGAAGTTACTAACCTATCGCAGTTTCACCGATGGCTAGGGCGTGCACTTGTCATTATCGGTATTGTTCAGATTCCTCTAGGGCTCACACTCTACGGCTCACCCAAAGTTCTCTTCATTCTGTTTGCCCTGGCAGCCTTTGCCTACCTGGTGCTCTACTTCATCCTTTCCTACAGATACGACGAGGAAGGATACCATAGGGGAAGTGACTATGGAGGTGGTCATAGCCACTACACAGGGCCGTCGGAGGTCTCAGCGCACCCCGAACATCACACGGGAGAGGCGCTTGCTGCTGGCGCTATGGGTGCTGGCTTGGCTTCGATGTTCCGACGACGTCCACGCAGCCGACACACCAGCCACGCCTATGAAGATTCCCGCACGTCCCTTTCTGATGAAAAATACTCTGATGAATCCTCGCGTCACCATGGCGGTGGTGGAGGTGGGGGTTTCGGTAAAAAATTACTTGAGATTGGCGCACTGGCTGGGGCTGGTCTCATGGCCAAGAGGTTCTGGGATCGTCGAAAGAAAAAAGAAGACGACGCAGAGTCAGGACGCTATAAGCCGGCAAATTCTCGCAACCACAGCTATACGGAAGAATCCCTGAGTCGGATGGAAGATGGTCGACCAGAGCCAACCCATCACACACCTCTCAATCGCCCACCAAGTCGTGCACCAAGCAGATCGCAAAGTCCAGGGTCATCCTACTATTACAACAGCACATATTTCACCGAGCCACCAAGGCGAGATCACAAGGCTCGGGATGCGGCTGCGGGCGTTGGTGCTTTCGCCGCTTTCAAGAGACTCTTCAGCCGTAACAAAAAGAACGACGCTGAGAAGGAAAGACTAGATGACATCAGGCGTCGTGACGATGAAGATGAGGCGCTTCAAAGAGCAAACAGCAAACGACGACCACAGGGGGGAGAGGGTCCGTATCCAAGAAGAAGAGCCAGCTCATACAGTGAGACCGATTATACCGAGACCGATCTGTCTCGGCCACCACCACGCCGACATGCCTCACATGGTGACTCGCTCCTCAGTCCAGAGCCTCTTGCTTCGGGTGCTGTCCATAGTTCTGTATCAGAGATGCCACCCATGCCGCCTGTGCATCATCACGGGTACTCTGGCGACCTGGCATCAGAGCGTCCTCATTCACGTCACTCCATTCCCCCTGCCGGCTCAGAGTTTGCCTCGGGGGCAGCCACCGGTGCAGCTGCTGGAGCAGCTTTGGATACTGCTCCTCGTCGCAATAGAAGCAGCAGCAGGCGCCGAGAAGAGGATGTCGCCTCGCCACCAGTATCCGTGAAAGTGAAGATGCACAACGACGGCCGACATGTCACGCTGCGCCGACTGACTGAAGAGGAAGCTGCCGCAAGTCGTGAGGCCCGCCGCAGAGAGCGAAGAAGCTCGCGTCGTCGCAACAGCAGTGCAGGTTCTCTCTCCGGCAACGAAGATGCCGGTTACGATCGCTGGCGCCGCGTGGAAGAGCTGGAACGCCAACAAGAAGAGCAAATGCGTCGTGAACAGGCTGCTGCTGCTGCTCCTCCCCCTCCACTTGTCGCCCCATCCGGTCCCAACCCTACATCTTCGTGGGCTGCTCCACCCTCCCAAGTCAGCCAGATGCCGCCACCACCTCCTATCCCCGCACCTTCCAGCATGCCTTACGGCCCCGGGAGTATCACCTCACCTCCATATACAGCTACTGAAATGAGTGGCTCGTATGCAAACAACCGTCGGCGTAGACGTGCAGAGCGAGCCAGAACTCGACAGGAGAGAGAGAAGCAGCACGGTGTCGAATTCACTTAAGACTCCTCTTGACCTTATCTACTCTATATCCTCCCTTTTTTATTTCTTGTGTCTACCCCAGACATATCTTACGACATGTACAAAACGAGTTATGTGCTTAAGCACCGTGTTGATATGATGATCCCTTTCCACGGTTCTATGTCTTCCTTTTCTTGAATCTGCTTCGTTGCAACGTCATGACCTTTTTCTCTTTTCTTCTCGGTATGCCAGCGTTTGGACGAATCTTTTGAGGCAGTTGGTGGACTTTCCCCTTGCAGTGTTATTATTCTTTTGCCTTTCTTTCCAAGGACCTCTTTTCAAATTCGCGATCATAGTATTGCAGCGCTATTTTGACGTCATGGCAGTGGCCAAAGGACGTTTTTTTAGTTGAAGGAAAGAAAATTTAACAATCTCAGATAAATTAATGTTTGTTTGCTTCAAAATTGTTCTTTGTTCTATCTACTTGAGCTAGCGTGAGGTCTCACAGCCCATGACGGCGTACTGTGGCAAGGTTTTGCTTGTTTCTTAGGCCATGTGCCCCAACCCTAAGTAGTTTCCAAGGATCACATGCACAATTGGAAAATATCTCGTCATAAGAGCTCATCAGCTGTAGTCTAAGCTCAAGTGATGTTTTATCATAATACTAGCTCAACATTTAATCCCAATGATATCAATATCACAAGACCACGGGCTTCAGTGTCGAACCCTATTCTGCAATATAAACCATAAAGATGAATAAAGACCAACAAAAGTTGCACTTTGAGGATAGTCCGAGGCTTCACTTGCCGTGGATCTTCCTTAATAGGGCTCGCCGTCAGTTCGAAAAGGTGTTTGAGGGCCGGTGTTGACTGAATGACACTCCGCACAGAGCGCAAAAGAGAGCGGCTGCGTAGCGGAAGAAGAACAGGATGGCTCTGGCAAGGCGAAATGTCACATTTCCCACTGGTGTATCTTTTAGATACTGCGTGGCAGTGGAAAACGCGTTCAAGGGAAGATTGATGACGAGCGATGGTACGATGAAGTAGGTATGAAAGACCAGATCTTTAACGGACACAACCGTCACTGAGTCCTCAAAGCTGTGCGGAAACTGCAGTGGAAGATACCCCTCGAGACCTGTGATCTCTGTCTCAACCATTCGAAATATGAATGCATACTTTTGAACCTTTCCGGGGACCGCTTCTGGCACGCTTTGGACCCGGTAGAGTGAGAAAGAGATATGGGCATACAGCCTTCTTTTCTGGCTGGTCCGCGCGACTTTGGGGCTGCGCACAACAGGTGTATTCGAAGCGCTTTCAATTGTGCCATCCAGTGCATGAGTACCGCCGTAAGATTGAGCCGGGAATGGCATCTGGTCAAGTCTGTACAATGGTGAGCTCGACAATGAGCGATCAAATCCATCGGCTTGTTTCGGGGTGAAGTTACCCAGAACCCGGGCTTCCACCGCGGATATGCGAGTTGAGGAAGGCTTTCGGGGTGTGGGCCGACGAGCGATCTTCCATTTCTCGCACTGCTTCTTCTTTCGATACGTAGCGATGTAATCCTGCCGTCGTTCAATTGAAGGCAAAGGGCGAGATGGCACATGAGGGGGTGAGGACAAAAGCGAAGGGGCAGCGCGAAACCGAACATATCTCACAACGCCAGGGTTGCCTGGTTTCCTAATAGCGCTGCGACTTACAAGTGGTCGGTGGCCCCCCAACCCGGAAACTGGAGATTCAAGCCATTGTCTTTGACTGACCAAAAGGCGCCGCAACTTTGAAGACTTCAAGGGCCCGGTATCACCGTCTCGGCGAGTGAAAAGGCTCTTCTCTGGCGAATCGAGGAAGCAACCAAAATCAGCATTGCTGCCCCGAGATGCATGGCTGGTCTGCAAATTCTTCATATCGTGTTGAAGTGGCTCAGGTGTACAATCTCTCACGCTGTTTGACGCTGGTGTGTTTTGCGGGTTTGAAGGCTCAGTGAGACCGTCAAGCGAATGGCACTTGTCCACAGTGGCATCCAGCTCTAGTCGGGGAAGGTTCTGGCCAAGATTGAATCCGCCAAATGGCTCGCGGAGCTCGAGGGTTCGATACTCGCGCTTCGGGCTGGTTCCCATTTGTATGGTGTCGAGTGGCTCTTCAGCAGCCCCATCAAGTCCGACAACGGGCGCAAAACGGTTAGGAGAAAATTCGGTGCCACCGAAATACTTCATTGTGAGCCGTGTATCAAAAGAACCCAAAGGCTCTGTTTTCAATGATTTGGGAAGAGTCATGATTGTCTATTAGGCGAAGGTGAAGATGTGTGCCCAGGTGGACTCAAACTCGGTTCGCATTTGGAAGGTGCGTTCCTAAACCTACCTACTTAGTAGAAAAGGAGATATCAGAGACACTAGAGACAAATATAATTAGGGGGCAAAAGGTGAATTGCTATAATTCTACAGGTTCATGGGTGGTGCGATAATGGTATGTACATCAAATCTATTTGACGTGAGCCTGCAGGGTCTCGAGAACCTGTTCGAAGATGTTAGTATCTCAAAGGCCAATCCATTGCTTGTGAGCAAGGGTTCTTACCTCAAGCTCGATCTTGGCCTCGGCGATGTCCTGCTCGCTACCGCTACCGCTGGCAATCTTCTGGGCCTCGGCGATCTGGGCACGGATGGACTGGAACGGAGATATGAGTTAGTTGTGGTCGAAATGCGATGGTGAGGAAACCTTACGTCGGCGCTGAAGTCCTCAAGAGCGAAGCCCTCAACGGCGTTGATGCTGAGCTGGGAGTCGGGCTGAACAACAGCGAAGCCACCGGACACTATCCAACAAGACTATTGTTAGCAGGTTGTTCATCATTGACATCTGACCAGATTTGCGATATGTTCCAAGGCGCGAGGATCGGACATACGGAAGTACTGCTTGTTGGCACCGCTCTCCTCGAGGATCTCAACGAGACCGGGCTTGAGCTGCTCGATGGAGGGAACGTGGTTGGCGAGGACACCCATCTCACCGGAGGCGGCGGGGATGTTGACCTGGGTACTATGATCGCGGAGGTCGGTCAGTATTTAAGGGCGAAGGGATCGTCGACGCGAGTGAGCGCAGCTGGGCATCAAACGTACACGCCAGTGGACTTGTAGATAGTCTATAGCACAATTGTCACGTTAGCATACGGCGGTCGATGTAAGAAGGGTGGCCGGAGTTGATTCACGCACCTGGTGAGGAAGGGTCAGGGACAGCTTGATCTTGTCGGCGACGGCCTCAGCGTAACCGCGGCGCTGGACAGGAGCGCCGAGGAAAGAAGGGCGAGCCCGGAGGGCGGAGCGAGCGAAGCGGAACGAGCTCATTTTGATGTGGAGGAAGACGTGCAAGGCTGGAATATCCCTCTTGAAGTTGCGTTGCAAAGGTCGAAGTCGGAATGCCGGTTGTTCCCTAGCGGCTAGTCACGTGGCACGGGAATTCAACGGCCGAACTACGGCCAGCATTGGTCTTGTTTACTACGACTATCTGATGCATTTTTTTGACGAAGCAGAAACATGGCTAAGTCTTGGTTGGATGATAGATCTAGAATCCAGCAGGGATTTGTCTGAATGATCAACTTGACCGACCATTCCAATTCATTTCAACTCCAAACGTGGAGGTTGAGCGCCGGAAATACTTCATAAATGTTGAGCAGGGATTGCTGAGGTGATAGTTGCCTCGGTGCAATCTTCACAAGCTTGATATGATTTAAAAATGAATCATTACCAAGGAAGAGAAGGTACTCGTACTTGGTCGATTCGCCTGCTGCAAGATATCCAGTCACGTGGTATCGGAATTCTGGGTCACGTGCTGTTGGATGGCAGAATGGAGCCAGGGGAGAAAATTGAAAACTTCAAAGACATCCCCCATAGTGAGCTAGAACGGTTCGAAATCTAGATTCAATTAAACAATGCTCCAAAATAATACTACAGCCCTCGTCATAGCTCAATACTATGACGTTTGCTAGACATAGCCCGCAAGTAAGTCCGCCGTAGCAGCACTCTAGTATGTACACCGCCCGATAAGCGAGATCCCACAAACGGAGTGAGCCCTAGCCGAGCCTCTACGGCCTGACGTCCCCAGTTCCCTCTCCTCCCCATCCATCCAACCGTCAATCAGCGACAACATCCGACAAGATGGCCAGTACGTTACCCTTTTGAATATACGATTTCCGATCCTCTGTCTGCTGGAAAATGGAAAAAAGGGCGATGTCGCTGACATGATTTTCACCCACAGAGTCCAAGAACGCGTCCCAGCACCACAACAGCCAGAAGGCTCACCGTAACGGGTACGTCTGCCCTTGAATATTCCGAATTGCCTTCGCGTTGCACCTCCGCTTTTTTTCGATCGAAACCACGAATCTCGGGGGTGGAATGAGCGGTGTTCAGCAGTGTTCGATGATTGTCCGGACGGTGATTCGGGGCATACCTTGAAGATTCGCTTGGGCAAATCAGTCGGCCTACTACATTCGCCCGTCACCTACTGCTCCGCACCAGGACCGTATCACTGATATATTTCCTTGAACAGTATCAAGAAGCCCAAGACCAACCGTTACCCCTCCCTCAAGGGTGTTGACCCCAAGTTCCGCCGCAACCACCGTCACGCTCTCCACGGCACCATGAAGGCCCTTGTATGTTCCACCACCCGACACGATACAACACCATGATACGGAATACTGACCCATTGAACAGAAGGAGCGCAAGGAGGGCAAGCGCGAGATCGCATAGATTATGAACAGTCTTTAAAAAATGGGAAACATGAAATGCAACTCGAACGCGCAGGTCCAGTGAACATAACGTGTGCGATCAAGGATGGTCCGCTGTGTCGAATAGGCCTGGTTTCTGCTTATTCCTTGCGCGAATATCGAGTTGTTTGATATCGAGAAATCAACAGGCTTAATTCGATGTGCACAGCGGTGCCACTTTCCCAGGCAGAGTCTCTTCTGCTTTATCCTCTTTTCTCTCCGTCTCGAGGGTTGGACTTCGACTGCGTTGCAGCCCTTGAGCTTAGGCTCTCATCTTCCCCATCCCCTCTCCCCCTACCCCCCAACCGGCATATGTGTGTACAGCTGCGTGCTTTTCTCATGCGCGATTGCTGAAGGATTTTTTCTTAACGTGCCAAGAAAAACTGTCTTCGATTGCTATATATCCTGTCTTGATTCCACTCGATCGTGACAGGGTTCATAGTCAGGAGGGCTACATTCCGTAATTCGTAAAATCATTTATACATAGTGAATACATCCATGTTTTATCAGTTCGTTCACCAATCATTACTTGAGCATGAGCCCAGAGCTTCCTTAAAAACAACTTTAGAAGCTTAAGTGGAGATATGCATGTTCGCACGCAACCTTCCACATTACTTAGTACTACCTAGCCATAGTCTGAATAATCCGCATTGGCTCCAGGGCCTCCGGGTCTATGTCTTCCAAATAACCACTCTTTTGTCGAATCCGCCGCTGATAACCCATTCCTCACGCACTGTATGGCCTCCAGGTTGGGGAACAGCAACATATCCAGACCAAACAGACCGTACCTTGCATCCTGGCTCATGGCCGCCCTTCAATAGAGCTATGACCTTTCCAGTCTTGGTTTCCACACCACGAACGACACCATCGTCGCCGTTCACCCACACTCCAGACCCATCAGGCCGCCACGCCAGCTGCGGAGTAGAGTAAGCAGTCTGCGATGCGAATGTATTCGCTTGCACGAGAATGGCAGCGTCCTCACGGTTCTGCATTGTCAAATTTGCCATTGCCTGTGACGCTTGTGTAATTTGGTCTGTCGTAGAAGTAGGTCCGCATTGGTCTGCTGTGGCGTTTGGGAATAATAGGCGCACAATCATGACCTTCAGGTGCGGCAGTGTCGAGGTAGCCACAGCCAGTAAGCCAGGATCATTTGGACTGAGTACCATATCGGCCGGCGAAAATGCAACCCATGTGTTTGAATGGGGGGCCAGATTCTGCTGACCCAAAAGTCGAGCTTCTCGGGGTCCATTCTCACGAGCAGCGTCAACATCGGCATCGTCGGCTTCAACTTGATAGTAGTGAATAACAGTGGAGTCTCGACGTGAAACGAGGAGCAGGAGCTCGTTCGTATCAATATGCGGCACAAATAGAAGCGATTCCGGGTTAGAGATGAGCTTGATGCGTGCAACAGGGTCGCCTATCCTCAACATCGAGGCATTGCTTTCAGGGATATTGAGGCAATACAGGAGCACAGTCTGGTCCCAACCAGCGGTTGCTACCCACCACTTGGATGAAATGATTTTATCTTGGAAGACAATTACTTTGACGGCGTATTTGGCATGATCTTTCCTTGTATCCAATGTTTGGTGGCCATGCTGGAGAAGCAATTTACCAGACATGTTGGTCATGAGGATGTACCGTCCATGGAGTATGGATACAAGTGAAAGAACAGGCGAGTCAGAGATCCCTGGGAAGGATGCAGCGGCGGCGTTGCCCTCCTCTGTATTGAGCAAATGGACTTGTTTGTCTGACCCCGTCGAGACAACATAGGACCGCGCTGTAGCATCTTGCTCGTCGTCATCACGAGGGCATTGCCATTGCTCTACGGACACGGAAAGTGGATTCGCAGATGTTGCCGTTTGAACAACGACTGGGTTTGATGGCGCTAAGACTCTGTCAGATCATCGAATTCCAACCAACTCCAAGGACGTCTTGAGATGCAGACCCAGTCTGTCGCAATGGGCTCGTAGAATCAAGGCTATAACTGACCTGGTTCACTCCATGCAGTTGACCTTTTCTCATCTTGGCCGTACCGCTCAAAATTTGCAGTAGAATCATAGGTTTTTTTCTCTTCAATCAATCTTTGGATAGTCCAGTCATTGATGCCGTCTGGGCCTTGCCCCACGTCGGGAGGAAGCTCAGCCTCGCGGAGAAAAGCCTCTAGTGTCTCGGAATAATCATGACTACGCAGGAAGCGGGCAACCAGAGCACCTGTCAAGGCGTCTATTGTTGTTGAGGGGGCCATGGCTGCCTTTGCGGAGAGGGTGATGAGGAAAGATCAATCCGGTGGCACTATTACCGCTGAGATATACAGTATGAATAGACTAACTCTACATCGCTCTGCACAATACATGACAATCAATTGGAAACAAGCAATTTTGAACAGTGTAAAAATTTAAAGTAGAGAGTATATGTTATTATGGAATTTTTATCAGACAATCCATTGTCGTCCATCTCGTAAAACGCCAGTAAACCATGCGACCCATGAAGCGACCTAACAATAACAGTAACGCACTTCGAAGATCTCGCTTCGTCTCTTTAGCTGAACATATCTTCCGCTCGACGCCGAGGACCACCACGTCCTTCCAAGGTATCAGAAAACAGCTCCTTGCCGGCATTATTCCCGGTATCATGCCCGTATTTGGAAGGGAACAACTCGCGCACCGATTCACCCCTGCCCTTGATTGATAGTCCTTGCGATGCACCGCCGCGGATAGCATACCCCTGGTCTTCACCGGCCGCGCCACGAATGCGGGCGCCTTCATCTGACTTGGGGAAAAGGTCGACGTTGCCGTGACGCTGATGTTCAGCTGTTCCAGGCACACGCGAAGCGTCAAACGCATCTGACCGGCGGTGGTTGCTGGGTTTGGTCGGGAACAATTCCTTCTTGATGTAGCTATCCGTTGTCTTGTTTGGGAAAAGCTCCCGATTTCCTGGCGTGCTTTCGCTGTTTCCTGCGAGAAGCTCCCTGCCTTCGTTGCGGCGCGATGAACGCGGCGACCTCTCGCGGAATCGTCTGCCTGTATCACGACCACCCCTGCTCTGGAGCTCCTCTTCCAGTGTATCTCGTCCTGGGGACGCACTGCGATTACGGAGACGGCCACTCGCGCGGTCTGCCTCGTCGGGGAAAAGATCCTTTTGATTATGTCCGCGGCCTCGGCGATCTCTTCCGGGGCCACTTGCGCCCACGTTGTCGCCGTACATATCGGCGCTGAAATTATCGTTGTCATCACGGTCTCGGCGGCGGCGGTGCTCGCGGTCATCAAATCTGCGCCTGCTATAATCATTATCACCTCCATCTTCACTGCGCCGTCTCTCTTTGAACTCTTGTCGCAAACGTTCTCGAGGATCGTGTTCCGGGTGCATGAGGTAGAAACGACTCTTTTCATGGGCGCGAGCTTGCTTGCGGTCAGACTTGACTGCCGATCGCACTTGGAGAACCGAGTCTGGGTGCGATGAGAATAGCTTCGCGGACCGAAGACGCAGAGGAGGTAGAGAGGACATGTCGTCTTCTTCGGTGGCTTGGGTAAGAGCTGCCAGAGCTTGGAGGCCGATTTCGGTGGAAGAGTAGATGATATTGGCGGAGGTATCATCGATCCATTCAATGCGCACTGGCTCCTGCCCAGAGCATTCACGGGCGAATTGCTTAATATTGTCTGTAGTCATCTCGTCGACCCCGCGAACGTGGACTTTTTCGTAGACCGCTTCCTCCGTGAGGGGATCAATGATGGTATCGAGGTTCGAGGCCGGTATTTGTTCCTAACACCCAGTTCATGTCAGCGAACAGTCAATTTGATTGGGGCCACGGCAACACCCACCGTCTGCATCTGTATTGGTACGGGTTCGGGCTCAGGTCCCAGATCAAGGTCCATGTCAATGTCCATGTCCGCGATGGGGGCGGACCCGTTGAGCGCCATGCTGGGCGAGCAGATGATTATTTAGTGAGAATTGAGACGTCCAACGTCAATCACGAAGAGAGGCCAGCAAGCAGGAGGTTGGAGTGAGCAATGCGAAGGTCAAGACCGCCCGCGGTAGCTTCACTTGCCGTCCCGATCAGGACTAGCGTGTCCCTCCGAATTGTTCTTTGGCGGTGAGAAGAGCATCACATTTACCACCAGGTAATCTTGTCTTTATAGTCACCGTGTCTGGACATCAACAGTCTTTCATAGCCCCCAATCCGCATCGGCAGATCACTGGAACCCTCGTGCGTTGGCTTGATCAAGTAAAATGAAAATATCCTCGATTGTCCAAACGACATCAGTTGAGTAAATAAGGCCGTCTTGTATCTGGCTCAAAGCACATTTTCCCGTGTGTATCGAAGATCCCCACGTTCGTGATCTTGAACTGTCGAATTTTGGTTGCAACGCTCTAGAATTGCACAGCGAGACCTTCGAGGAATATCATTCATCGTTAGTCAAGTATGCAAGTCAGGATGTATTCCGTGATAGCCCTGGAGGGATATCAATTTGAAACCCTGCCACCGAAGGCGCTCACACAGATCTGACTATGATGGACAGAGTAGCCCGGAGGTTCCGCAAAGCAACTTTGAAAACGATAATGCCGTTTACGCTGCGTACCTGCGGCTCCGTACAGAAGAGTGATACAGGCATACAAGATGCTCGTTCCATCTCTAGAGAAATGGTGAGAGTATGTCTACTACCTTCACAATAACAGAAAAGATGAGGATCTATTATATCACTTCATATGTAAGATTGTTGGGCAAGGGAGCCGAAAGCAGGAGGGTGCTTGAGGGCTTTCAGGCCAATTTTCATGAGCATTGTATACCGTTGTAGCCATGCACTTGCATCTTTTGGCTCTATCAGTTTCAGTTTCAATCTGAACAAAATTCAAGCGATACAAGTTGTGGTCTGTACGGCAGGTTATCTGGAGCATGAGGACAGAGCCCAAACCAGAATCCTTACCTACACCAGAACGCTGATGAGATGTTGGGATAGACCTCGGGAAGCGATGGCAGTGATTGATATATACTAAAAGAAGAGAAGATGAAGAGAGCGAGGGGAAAAGAGAGGGAAAAGGAAAGAGAAAAAGAAAGAGAGGAAGAGGAAGAGAGAGAGAAGGCAAATGTGTATTGACATTGGTAGTCTATAGTTAGTGAGGGCACCTGGGCATCAACCTTAGAACGCGTATGGAGTAAATATTTCTGTTAGATGAGGTTCTGTCCTTATGCTCCAGATAACCTGCCGTAGATCTGTCCATTTTCAGAGAAGAGTCGGGGATATGCCCGTGGTGAAATTGGAAAGACGAATTTAGGCTAATCATGCAGCAGACGCTGCCTATGATCTCTCAAGGCATTTCGAGACATCCCCACAACACAACACATCCGCCAGCTTGAGCAGCTCTAGAACAAATAATATCGTCCTCTGGGACTTTACGCATGGATTCTACGTCACTTGCTCAGATGCAGCCATGTTTTCACATTCGTACTGCATAGTGAGGGGTACACGTCCTCTCCGTGATACTTAATCTCGCTTCCTGGACTGGAATGCCCAATTGCTGAACACTGTTTCTCTCAGACTCATCATTTTGGTATGAGAATACCAATTACCCCATATTGAACATCGCAGTTTCGAGATGCTTTTCGCCGAGGACGACAAACTCGTTTTCCGCTTTGACGACCATATCTTGTGGATTCAACCATGGGGGGAAAACGCCTTCCGCGTACGAGCAACAAGACAAGCCTCAATGCCAACTGAGGACTGGGCTCTGTCTTCTAAGCCGCCCACTCCAAGTCCAACTATCAAAACATCCGACCAGGAAGCAAGTATCACCAATGGTGCAATCACAGCCACCGTCTCCCGCCGCGGAAAGCTCATCATCTATGACTCGAACGGTAACAGACTCCTCGAGGAATATGCCCGCCACCGACAAGACCCCATGGACCCAAAATGCAGCGCCTTGACGGTGGAAGCGCGCGAGCTGCGTCCAATCCTAGGCGGCGATTACCACCTCACGATGAGATTCGAGTCCCTCAATCCAAGGGAAAAGATCTTTGGCATGGGCCAGTACCAACAGCCCTACCTCAATCTCAAGGGGTCGGATCTCGAGCTAGCCCATCGCAACTCCCAAGCCAGCGTTCCTTTCGCGGTATCTTCCCTTGGATACGGATTACTTTGGAACAACCCTGGTCTTGGTCGGGCAGTTTTAGGAACCAATGTCATGAGCTTTGAGGCCTTCTCTACCAAGGCATTGGATTACTGGATTGTAGCGGGTGACAACCCGGCCGAAATCGAAGAGGCATATGCCAAAGTGACGGGTTATGTTCCCATGATGCCGGAATACGGCCTTGGCTTCTGGCAATGCAAGCTCCGTTACTGGAATCAGGAGCAGCTGCTTAATGTTGCCCGGGAGTACCGACGTCGGGATGTGCCTTTGGACCTGATTGTGGTTGATTTTTTCCATTGGAAACATCAGGGTGAATGGAGCTTCGATCCAGAATTCTGGCCTAACCCTGGTGAGTAATGCCTTGGGATCGATGAGACTTACGCATTGTTTTCTTGTCTCCATATAGATTGAGCATTATCAATATCAGCTAACAACCATTCCAGAAGCCATGATCAAGGAACTCAAGGAGCTCAAAGTCGAACTCATGGTCTCCGTCTGGCCAACAGTGGAGAACGCATCTGAGAACTTCCCCGAAATGCTCGAGAAAGGGCTCCTGATCCGCCACGACCGCGGGATGCGAGTGGCAATGCAATGCGACGGGGATGTTACGCACTTCGACGCCACGAATCCCTCAGCCCGAGAATTCATCTGGGCTAAAGTCAAGAAGAACTACTACGACAAGGGCATCAAAGTATTCTGGCTTGACGAAGCTGAGCCAGAATATTCTATCTACGACTTCGATATCTACCGCTACCACGCTGGTAGCAATCTTCAGATCGGTAACATCTACCCTAAAGAATACGCACGCGGATTCTACGAAGGCATGACAGCCGCGGGCCAAGACAACGTCGTCAACCTGCTCCGCTGCGCATGGGCGGGTAGCCAGAAATACGGTGCGCTAGTATGGAGCGGCGACATCGCGTCGTCGTGGAGCTCGTTCCGCAATCAACTCGCGGCCGGCTTGAACATGGGACTTGCGGGCATTCCGTGGTGGACGACTGATATCGGAGGCTTCCATGGTGGGAATCCCGATGATCCTGCCTTCCGCGAGCTGTTCACCAGATGGTTCCAATGGGGTGCGTTCTGTCCGGTCATGAGGCTTCATGGGGATCGAGAACCCAAACCGGAGGGTCAGCCTACGGCTAGCGGTGCGGATAATGAGGTTTGGTCATATGGAGAGGAGGTGTATGGAATCTGTAAGAAGTATATTAGGATGAGAGAGGAGATGAGAAGATATACGCGCGAGTTGATGCGCGAAGCTCACGAGAAAGGAACGCCAGTGATGAGGACTCTGTTCTACGAGTTCCCAAAGGATGAGAAGGCTTGGGACGTTGAGACGCAGTACATGTTTGGAGCCAAATACCTGGTTGCGCCTGTCTTGGAGCCAGAGCAGCGTACAATGAGGGTCTATCTGCCAGCTGGGGCATCATGGAAACTATGGGATGGGACCCAGGTCTATGACGGAGGAAAGGAGATTGTGGTTGACTGTCCAATTGATAGTATGCCCGTCCTTGTTCGTCAGTAGATGGCCATCAATGGACTTGGAGCAGTCAGACTGGAGCAAGTACCACATCCCCTTGTTCCCCTTGTTCCTCGTTAGGGGTCTATCAATCTACACACCTTCCTTCTTCGGCCAAGATGCAACTCATTTTTGTCTGTTCGTATGGCGATGGTACTCGTATCGAGTCCCCGGGCCACTTTTTGTGGTCACATTTCAATTCGAGACAGGCTCTTTCCATGTTGGTCTCTTTCCAAGTTCGTCCAGATATTGCAACCATCGGCCCTCGGGCTTCCGTTAGGCCGATGGGAATACTCCGTACTGCGTACTTGTACAAAAGAACCCAAAATTGGCCAGGGCTAGGTAGTCGGGGCTCTTCAAGCGCGCGAGCCGCAATAGGAAGGACCTCACCCTTTGCCGCCAAAAAAAATGCCCCTGATCACCTAAATAGTCGTACTTCGTGGAGACCCCATATACGAGATCTGGCGTAAATATAGCCCCGAAGATGCCCAAGGCATCCACCCAAAGACATAGCCAGCGCATAACTCCACTTGTGCAGCCACTAACTCAAAAGTGACTGGAAAGGAGGCATTATACGAACCTTGGCTCTTAAGATTAGTCCAGAAGACAAAAAGAATCTCAAAAGGAAGACTGAAGATCCCACGCGTGCCATGATCGCGCTAACTTCTTCTGAACTGCCATCGGGGAGGAGAGCACTGCCTACCAGACCCAGAAATGGCAAATGGATGTGAAATGCAGAGGTTGACAGAGCTCGAAAATTGAGGCATTCGGGTAATCCGATGTTTCAGGGGGAAACGGTTCGACACCGGCAGGCGGGTACCTATCTGAGCGCTACGGTAGGCCAGGCTCTTTTGGGGATGGGGAGAAGGGGTGGGTCACCGAGATTCTCCGTCAGCCAATGGGAGACTCATATCGGGGGGTGTCGGTATCGTGGGGCACATGGCGGTTATTGCGAACGCACCGATCCGTGGTTTTCGATCGAGGGCTTTCAAGGTTGGATCTGATACTTGGGTTTTGGTCTCTGCAGATGTCATTAAATATTGGTTATGGAATGATTCCGTACTTTGTCCATCCCCTTCATTCTCGTTGCTCATCTCTGTAGTTCTGACGTCTTGAGATCGCGAGATCGGGCATCGCAAAATTGAGCGCCCCATATAACTCTATAGGGAGATGTGGGTGTCGATCGTTCCCGAGGACTTGGGTCCTAACGGGTACTTCAACCCATGGGACGATATCACGGAAGTACACTTGTATACGAGTATCACGCATGTCAATTCAGCATGTACAAGTAGGCTCTCGTACGGGTACGAATGATGCAGTACGGGGTACTCCGTACTCTATACTCGATACGCACACTTGGAGGTTTTACCCCTGACCCGTTCACAGCCAGCCCATGGTCCGTATCCACCTGAAACGATACGAGTACAACGGCTCGATCTGATCGCTTGGCGCCGTTACCGTTCCCCTTTTCTGTCAGGCGCCAGGTGCCGGTGGTCCAAGCAGCTAGCGGCATTCGATTTCGAACTCTGTTTTGGAACCTCTGCCTTGGATCGGGCCAAAGGGGGCGTGTATTATTTCAAGGTTTGGAACATTCCATTCCCACAATACTTGAAGTAATCTGTACTTGTACTCTAACTCTCTTGAATACTCGTACTGTCAATAGTCATTAATATGACATCAGAGTTTTCTTGTTGAGTTCCACGGTCCGCATCCCGTCCGATCCACCAACGAAAGTACCATGCAGCGAGAATGTAAGCTAAAATATTTCAAATAAAAATGCAGATCTCACAATGCCAATGTGCCGCATCGATATCGCTAATTATTACACTGTGCTACTCCGTACTCTGATTCGGTAATGGTCCCTCGGCAAACAGTACAAGTACTCGTACACCCGGACTATCCCAGCTGATGCCGTCGCTGGTACGGGATGTCCGTGTGGAGCTGACTCCCATCTCTGTACAAGGACTCATACAGTAACTAGTGAGTTGGTTTTACCCAGTACCCATTACCAATTCGTAAACATGGACATCTCGATGGATCTACAATGTTACATGTGCTGTATGCAGGGCGGCAAATCGCGACCAAAAACCCACACCCATGGACATGTCGACAGGTGTGTTATACCTATACCGTATACGGTGAATACTCGTACCTACAATACCTGGACACTCCCCGACGTAGAATCACACAGTACTCCGTACAAAAACAAAAAGTAGTCGAAAGCAAAATCCAAACTAACGGTCACAGTGCAACGCCGTGCAAGCAAGCACTCCCCGGGCGCGAAAATCCCCAAAGCGGGCTGTATGGCTTGTACGTGCACGAACTCTGCGATCCATGCGAAGCCAACCGAGTCTCGACGCTCAGCCCCGCCGTTCATCCTCAGGTGGCCAGTTCACTCGCTGCAGCCACTGATTGGCTACACTCCCTGTTCCCAACGCTCATCCCGTCCGCCCCTGCTGATGATTCGACCCTATGAGTCCTGCCCGTAAGGACCCAAGTATTCCGGAGCATCTAACTGCATAAATCCTTCACACACTAAGAGACAAATGGCCAAGCCTGTTGACCGGTTCTGGCCTCGCCCACTGCCCGCCGGCGTACTGTACACTTGTAGTACTCGTATCGCTTGGAGCAAGTTCACTTGAGTGGAGAGAGACAATCCAGGCTGGGAAAAATCGAAACCTTACCTCGATACTCCCGTACTTCGTCCTCAATGCAGACCGTTTAGGGCCTGGACGAACCTCGCTTAAACTTTGGGCTTTTCTTGGTTCTAGTGCATGTCACTTCCATCACAGTGCAGGTTCGTGGGTGCATGTCGATTCACCATTTACCATTTACCATTTACATCCACATGTACATGTACATGTACGTACGAGTAAGTACTTGTTTGGATTACATCTGATCTTCATTCGATACTCCGTAGTGCATTTGCATCCATTAACCTTTGGAGGGGCCAGCGTACCCGGTTTTGGGACCTGATCCCGGCATCTAGGCGCATATAGATGTGCGTGAAAAAGAAAAAAAAAAATGATAATCATCACTAGAAATCCTTTGGGTCAATCTTCACACAGATTCATATCCAACCATGTACTTCGCTGTACTTCGTACAGGATGAGTAGAACGGACCTTGCTTTGTTCAACCCAGTGGGTCCTTACTTCCGTGCTTAGGCCGCCCTGACCAGAATCGGTCTCCCTTGCGTCCGTCCTCGTGAGCACAGCGTGTCTGGTGGCGCTTTCGTCATGGGCATCCATGTAAAGGGGGCTAAACGGTTGAAGTCTGACTATTGCCTTCCCTGCTGATATGCTCAGTACAACAGGGTATAGGTCAGGTTTGGGGTGGTTCCGCTCTTGCGAACGCAGCCGTTATACCGGTATTGAGATATCGGTCGATCAGACATTGGTGGATGTGTGTTGATTTGGTTGGAACGGTTGATCTTTATTTCCATTCATTCCACAGAATTACACACATACAGTCCTCCGGGGAGGAGCCTCAAGCCCAAAATATCAGGCTCGAATAAATTAAACGGTAGAAATACTGATTACTGGCTTACTGATTTACTGGTTTGCACGTGAAATAAGGCCAAAACTGTAGGATTTTTGTTCCACATCATGGTAATACACATTAAGAGTATACAAAAGGAAATCGTAATACCTCCCAATCAACACAAAGCGCTACTCGTAGGCTTTTGACAAAAAAATGTACAACAGGGTTTCAGATACCCAGGCGCAAGGGGGAATCAAAAAGTATAGAACAGTAGGAAAAGGAAAATAAACTCTTTGAGAAATGAGACTCGTGGCAATCATGAATGCAGGGGTGACTTTTTTGGGTTTTGCGTTTGGTTTCAGTTGAGCAGGCTGTTAACACCCATGCGAGTGTCACGAGCGGGCTCAGCTCTGGGGATCCATGACTTGGATAAGTCGGTTGGTTGGTGCCATGAAGCAAGGGTAGGCTGGTGGGCCATCCAACGTTTGGATGCAATCTCAGAGAGCGACTCTAATGAGCGAGCCGGGTAGCTGGGCGAATCTTCCACAACGTGCACGCTGGGCCTCCGGCTCTCGTACTGCGAGCGCAGATCGACGGGCAGGGGCAGGAGCTGTGGAGAGGGAATGGTGCGGGGCGAAGAAGAGCAGACGGAGTTGTGATCTGAGACCATAGAGGGTGGCTCGCAGGAGTTTGCATGCGAGATCTCTGAGAAAGCGGGCGAAGTGAGGGGGGTCTCGATCGGTCGGTTGATGGAGGGGAGAGTGTAGATGGGAGAGAGCTGGCGCGCAGAGGCCATGGACTCTCTGCGGGAGTTGGAGAATTGTTCAGAGATGGCAGACTCGATTGAGTCTGTCCAGGATGGGCGAGATGAAGAGACAGAGAATCGGGGACGAGAAGGGCTCATCATGGAGGCGCGGGTGTAAGGCGCCTCAATGCGGCCGGAGTATGTGCGCGAGGTGGTGGGGGTAGACAGGCCACGCTTCTTGCGGTTCATACTCCCGTTCCACCAGTTTTTGACGGCATTGTCGCTGCGGTTGCCGAGGCGGCGGGCGATTTCCGCCCAGCGCTTGCCCATTTCATTGACCATGCGCTCAATCATGAGACCTTCGTCGGCGGAGATGGGCTCCCGGTTCAGAGAGGGCTTCAGGTTTTGGTGGAAGCGCTCCCGACATTGCTTGGGAGAACGGTAGTGCATGTGTTGAGAAATGCGAACCCAGTTGTTTGGGCCTTGTTCACGAACTAGTTGAGTGAGAAGTTGGTCTTCCTCAGGGACCCAAGGTCCACGGCGATGTGAAGGAGGCATTATAGAATTATAGAGGAGGAGGGAGACAGGTTGTCAAGGTTGTCAAGGGTGTGATGGGAATGATGAGAGAAGAGGTACTTTAAGAACCTTTAAGAAGGAAAAGCCATGTACCCAGGGGGACGGGTCCAAAAGAAAAACCAGGTCCCGCAATGAGAAGATCACGATCCAAGATCTCGGAGCTGACAGTTCGGAACAATACGTTATTTGAATTAATGATTAAAT